AGAACATATATTAGCCAAGTACTTATTGTTTAAAATTTTGTGTAGTGTTTCAATCTGCAGATCGATAGATCAGCAAAAACAATGTTAACTCGAAGACCTACATATTATTTAGTCCTATCTTGTAAGTTACACACTACTTGATTTAATTGGGCCCGTCCAAAATACATGTGCAAGGGCAAAAGATTAGTATGCTTATATTTGCAGAAGATATAGCAGTATTAGCATCTAGCAAGGAGGACCTACAGGTAGCTTTAAATAAAATGGAAGCGGTACTGACAGATCAGTACTGTATGAAAATAAATAAAAGTAAAACTAAAATAATGGTATGCAAGGAAAGAAAAGGTAGGGAAAGAGCGAATATAAAGATAGAAGCCGAAAAATTAGAAGAAGTGGCTGATTTTAGATACCTAGGAAGTCAGATAAGTCAGGATGGAGGGAGTAGTAGGGATATAAAGCAGAGGATAGCTCAGGGTCGTGTCGTCTTTAATAAAAAGAAGTCACTGCTATGCTTGCGAACGGTTAATTTAGAAATTCGAAAAAGGTTGTTAAAGGTGTATGTTTGGAGCACTGCGCTGTACGGATGCGAAACATGGACAGTGGGCGCGGCGGAAAAGAAAAGGTTAGAAGCGTTCGAAATGTGGTGTTATAGGCGGATGATGAGGATAACGTGGGTAGAAAAGGTTTAGAAATGAAGAGGTATTGGAAAGAATAGGAGAACAGAGGACTCTATGGAAGTCAATAAAAAATAGGCGAGATAGGCTGGTAGGACACCTTCTCAGGCATGAGACATATTAGAGGCAGAAACAGGAGTTAGAAGGGGTAGAGGTAGACCTAGATTAGATTACTGTTCGCAAATAGTTAACGATGTGGGCTGTTCTAGTTTTAGGGAAATGCGAAGTTTAGCTCAGGATAGGAGAGTGGAGGTACGTGTCCAACCAGTCTTAATACTGACGACCTTATGATGATGATGATAATGATGTCCAAATTTGGACAGTGGTATTACCCGTTGACGATGTTGCATATTAGGAGTAACATTTTAATTTTGGAGGCATTTTCATGATGTATGCATATGCAACCAACTATACATTCGAATAGAGACATTTAGACCCGCCCGCTTTTTCCCATATGGAATACATCATAATTACTTTTTTTTTAATTACGTATTCTGATTATACAGCCTGGATATCGTGGGTAGACCTATAACTCCATTCGATCTTTTAATTGAACGTCAGTTAATTTCCGTCATGATTGTAAGGTAAAAACGGCTCTTTTAGTTAGCGTTTTAATTCACAAATATCTTGTAAACCGCTTAATTAAATTTGAAATTTTACAAATTCCTAGCATTTGAAGAGTTAAATCGATCGTCTTTTTGGTTTTCCACGAACCTTTTGCCGATTTGATACAATTTTTAACCGAAATTTTTAACGGTTTGTCTACGAGTTACTGAGAGGAAAGCTATTTCTAGTTATGTATTAAGCGTAGGTATATGAGAAAGTATCCTTAAGAATATAGGTGCAATAGCCTGGAGGATCCGCTACGATTTCCCCCTATTCCAGGAAGCGGATAGTAACACTAACCCTGTAAATTTTCCTTTGACATCACCGGTATTATGTCAACCAGCTTGCGTTAGCAGAGATGAGGCAACTACGCGCGTAGCTCTTCACTTGAAGATTTATCACATATATTAAGGCCCCTTAAGGGCTCTTTTCAACGTACCGAGCGGCATGGTCTAGAGGTTTAGACCGTTGCTTAGCATTCGGGAGGACGCCGGTTCGATTCCGGGTCTCCGCCTGTCTTGGATCAAGTTTTTCTGTGGTTTCCTTGGATCACTTAGGCAAATGCTGGGGCAGTAATATTCTACAGACAATGTTTGATTCTCTTATGTCTTCATTTCGTCCATTTCATCTTTCTCACCTGAACCACCACCCAGCCATTCCCACGATTCCTGAAAGGGACTGAAGAAGGCCTTCCACCCTACCTTTAGGCCTAGTCCGGAGGGACTGCCCGCCCACCAGCATTAGTGGCTGGTGGAAATGGAACATCCAAGTTTTTTTTTTTTCAATATTATACATTAGGAGATCCAAGCAATTACAATAATTTTGAGGGACAAATAAATATTGACCCTCTCCAGAACATACATAAGTGAAGAGCAATTTTACCTACTTCATCAGCAGCACTTTCTGTTAATATGATTGTAATTGATGGATATTTATTTTGTACTTCAATTATTTATAAATAAAATGTGGATCATACTAGTTGAACCAAACGTTTTCAATAAAACAATTTTTCTTTAGAAATAAATTAGAAAAGTTTGCCTAATATTTATTTTCTTAATTGTGCAATTTTTCCAGATTTCCAAGTTGTCTTAATTTCGACCTCTTACCTTTCAACATTCTTTACATGAATCGACAACTTTCAAACTATCGCATCGCTAACGAAGCGATGATGATCATGTGCTCTTTCAAGTGTTTAATAAAAAAAAAAGTAAAAATAACCACGAACATCTTCTGCAATCGCAGCGGTACAGTTGCGAACATATAGTCTTAATATATACATTTGTATATGTACGTACACAGTTTCCCAACTTCATAGTAAACGAAATGAATTAAAGGCCTGCAATTTTGGGCGCAGGCGTCGGACTGCGTCGTTTTTTCTTCGAAGTTATCCTTAACAGAACCGGCTTTTAAAAATTTCAGGTGGAAAACAATGAAAAATCAGCAGACTCAAAACAAAGCTTACACAAATGTTCTTTAACAGCCACATATAATAGTTCCATTGGTTCAATTTACGTAAATATCTACCTCTAGATTATGCTCGTTTTTTATTTTATTTGTGGAATAAACTATTACATTCAAGTTAAATTTTATATTTTACACTTGCGTTGAAGCCTTCGAAATGTGGTGTTAAAGGCGAATGATGAGGATAACGTGGGTAGAAGGTTAGAAATAGAAAAGTCAATAGAAAATAGGCGAGACAGGTTGGTAGGACACCTTCTCAAGCATGAAGGTCTAGTCAGAGACATATTAGAAGCAGAAACAGGAGTTAGGAAAGGTAGAGGTAGACTTAGGTTAGATTACTGTTCACAAATAGTTAAGGATGTAGGTTGTTCTAGGTTTAGGTAAATGCGAAGATTAGCTCAGGATAGGAAAGAATGGAGGTACGTGTCCAACCAGCTTACGACTGACGACCTTATGCTGATGCTGTCCTTCGGGAATAGTATTTTCTTACGTCCTTTTCTGTATCCCTGACAATTTGTGTACAAAATTTCATGACGATCGTTTGAGTATCTAGTTAAAACGTGAAATGGTAGAAAACAAACAACTTCACATTTGCATTAATAATATTATTTAGAATGTTGTGAATTCTGTGATGTTCCGAAAAAGAATGCTTGCATCTTCCACATCCAAGTTGTCATTCTTATGTTGGATACTTGTTTGAATATTTATATCGTTGAACTTCTTGACTCAGTTGGAAACATCACATTGCGCCTTATTCTTTTTTCAGTCCTAAATTTTTTCTCTTGCAGGGGTTGTCTAATTAGTCTGTCCTCCTTTTCATTGAAGTTCATGCACCCCCATCTATGTTTATGGTTAAATATCTTACCTTAGCATTGTAACCTCTGTGTTGTTTCGTAATGTTCTTAAACTACCGTTGAATCTCATTCTCCTTCTTTGTATAATCGTTATCAATCCATATTCACATTAGTACTTTTGTATTTAATATTTGGTTCTTGTTCCTTTATTCGGAACTTTTCTTATCGTTTCTTCTATTTTTTAGCGTTTCTTTCTGTTTCTTTTTTAATATTTCTTTTATCTTTGGGTACGCTCTCTTAAAAAATCTATCTCTTCTCTAATTTGATTGCTCTGATCACAATTCCCGTCTAGTTTGGCTTCCATTTGCGACCCATAGTCGTATTCACTAATACTCTTAACTTTTCGTTTTCTTTTTAGTTCATTGGTGGTTCATTGATATCAACAAATCTCGTTCAGTAATTTGTAAATTAAAAGTGTATACACCTTTTGAATTTGCTAATTGATATACACCTTCTAACTAACACCTTTAATTACCATATAAGATTTAACCGAAAAGTTAAACACTAACACGTACGTATGTACTTAGCACATATGTATACACTCTTCCAGAATTCATTCAATTATTCAATATTTATTTTGTTAAGAATTTATATTAGCAAAAGAATTTTTATTTTTATTTTTCCAAGTGTCAGCATCATCCTAATAAACTGGGGTTAAGGACCATACCATTGAGCCTAGAGGTTTGGACACTGTTTAGCATTCTGGAGAAGACCCGTTCGATTTTGCGTCTGTCTGCCCTGGTCCAAATGCTGGGAATGTCCTAATATTCTACAGATAATCCTCCACTTGTCTTTTGTCTTCCTCTTTCTCTCCCTAACTACCACCCATTCATCCCCACATTTCCAACAAGAAGGCTGAAGAGAGAAAGGGAAAAAGTACCGTTTGTGACAATTCCTTTGTTATGGTTTTAAAAATATAAAACAGTCCGGATCTGGTTCTCCGTCCATTCATTCTCTCTTTGTCTGTTAAGCTTGTTCGAACAGTGCGAAACAGTGTCATCTCATTCGCGGTAGTAGTAGGCGTAAGGACGCCGGCGTCGGTATACGCATGCGACGCTAGTTCACCTAGCGTGTTTTCCTTCAATTGGGGATCGCGATTATTGACATTCCAAGAGCCTCCGTCTTGTGTTCCACTGCTCGGTGGCCTCTGCCTGGCTGCTAAGCGATCGTAGTAGGTCAGTCAGTCAGTCGTTCGTTTATTTTCAATTTTCTTACGATCGCTGATCCCAGCGCGAGGATTTTTTTTTATTGGTTCGTTTCTACGCGTCAATTTTTCATTTGTTTAAAATGTTTTTGTACATTTCTATGTTATCATCGGCCAATGATTATGTGGCATTGTTAGAGTTGTTGAGCGAGTGAAGGAATTTGATTGATAAAGAAGAGACGTCGGCGTTTTTGAAGCGACGCTATGGCTGAAGAAGACGGCACCGCAGGATCAGGGGAAGACGGTGATCTGAAGAAAACTGGGAAGGGTCTTCGCGAGCGTAAAGGAGCCCTCAAGAAAAAGAATATCTACAATGTCAAAGATCATCGTTTTATCCCGCGCTTTTTCAAACAACCGACGTTTTGTTCGCACTGCAAAGATTTCATTTGGTAAGCAAACCTAATTTAAATTATTTCCCTTTCATACTATCAGTAGATAATAATTTTATATTTATTATTAATAATATCATATTTAATTGAATAATAACTGAATGACAACTGAACATTAAATCATGATATCAACATCAATATTAATTTTAAATGCAAAGTGGATGGAATTAGAACTCTAATTTTACCAACAATGTACTTTGTAATTAACGTTAAAATTATAAATCTTTAAAGCTAAAAATTGTAACATAATGAAATTTATTGATAACATGCAATTTTAATAACTACAGATGTAGGTAATTTAGGTACAATCGGAAAATTGCCCTAATTGTGTCTAGGAGTTGCTTTGTAATTAACATCTCATTTACGAGAGCACTTTGTGGTTATAGCGATAATTCAAAATTGTACGGTTTATTAAAAAACGTTTCCGCTAACATTGCAAATGCCTAAAGTTAATAAAATTAATGTGCAAATTTTCCGGGTAGCCTACTTGACATGATATGTACAAGTTGATTTGATTGGATTAATGCCATAAGTTAAACTGCCAAAGCTTTCGGAATTACAATTCTCGCGATGCTTTTAATTCAGTTATAAAACAAAATTTAATTGGCTTGTTCTTTAGCTTTTAAAGAAACAATGGAAACTTTGGAAAATAAAATGAAAACTCAATCGACTCATCAATCGATTATTATTATAAGATTTCAAAACTTGTGTAAGTAATTATAAAAATTTTTTAATTAAATTGATAAATTATATANATAAATATTGTGGACAGTCGATTGAAATAATTTTAGCTTTCTTCTTGTTTTAGATATCATTAAAAAATTGAATCGCTTCTAAAAAGTCTTGTATTAAGCTATACTGCCAAATTGGAAAAGGCTTTCGCGGCCAGTAGGTGAACCGTTGCTCTCCTGATTCGGATCTAAAAGTTGTCGTCGGTTGGCTATGCTTCCTAACGTTTCGCTGGAACTAGTGATGATACTTCAGAAGTTTTTTCATTTCCGATGCTGTATGTGGAAGCAATTTCAACCAACGACGGCCTTTTGACAAGAATCAAAGTAGCATCACTTAAGCTACGAGGTTTGTTCAAAAAGTATCGTGAATTTTGTGTTTCTTCAAAAATTATTTATTTATTTATGCATATCTATTTTGTCCGCTTTAAAGTAATTCCCACTAGATATTATGTAATTATGCCAAAGTTTTTTCCAATCCTAGAAGCATTTCAAAAAATATTTATCAGCTCGCATTTTTTGATGTCTCCTCAATTATAAGGTTGAAACGTCTTTCGGGAACAACAAAAATTCATAGGGAAATAAGGTAGCAGCGGCTTTGTTAGTGTGTTGTTTTTGGCCAAAAATTCGCGCACAGTCAATGATGTGGGAACAGTGGCGTTATCATGGTGCAAAAGCCAATTTTTGTTCTTCCACAAATCCGGGAGTTTCTGGCGGATTGCTTCGCGCAAATTGCGCATAACTTGCAGATAATATTCCTTATTGACCGTTCTGCAAGAACTCATAAAGCACCACGCCCCTGGAATCGAAGAAAACTGTAAGCAAAACCTTCACATTCGACCTAACTTGGCGTGCTTTTTTCTTAACTCGTGCGGCAGCTTCTATTGGGATGATTGAGCTTTGGTTTCCACGTCACAACCATAAACTCATGATTCCTCACCAGTTATGACCCTCGGGAGCAAATTTGTGTCGTTGCGGACAGCTCCTTAGCAATGTTAATGCTATGCTGTGAGACATGAGTACCAACATAAAGCCGCAAAAAATCGAAAATCGAATATACGTAACTCGCGGAAGTTCAAAATTCGCGATACATTTTGAACAGACATCGTATAATATCGCTGAGTAATTTAGGCTGTACTAGTTGAATCCGTCGAAATTTGGACGAATAAGTATTGTTGCTAATGTTATATAGCGGTTCTATTATTATCATAATATTTGATACGTAAAATTATTCGCAATTTTAAATTTAATATTCCCATTAAACCGCAACGTCCAGCATATTGAAAGTAGGTGCAGACTTTAGTCCATTTTTTTAATTAAACGTTTATTAGTTAGTCAGTTCCAGTAAGTCCCTATATCATCAGAGGAGACAGCTGCACAATTTTTTACTGTAAACATGCCTGTGCTGTAACCATACCAACAATGTACTTTGTAATTAACGTTAAAATTATAAATCTTTAAAGCTAAAAATTGTAACATAATGAAATTTATTGATAACATGCAATTTTAATAACTACAGATGTAGGTAATTTAGGTACAATCGGAAAATTGCCCTAATTGTGTCTAGGAGTTGCTTTGTAATTAACATCTCATTTACGAGAGCACTTTGTGGTTATAGCGATAATTCAAAATTGTACGGTTTATTAAAAAACGTTTCCGCTAACATTGCAAATGCCTAAAGTTAATAAAATTAATGTGCAAATTTTCCGGGTAGCCTACTTGACATGATATGTACAAGTTGATTTGATTGGATTAATGCCATAAGTTAAACTGCCAAAGCTTTCGGAATTACAATTCTCGCGATGCTTTTAATTCAGTTATAAAACAAAATTTAATTGGCTTGTTCTTTAGCTTTTAAAGAAACAATGGAAACTTTGGAAAATAAAATGAAAACTCAATCGACTCATCAATCGATTATTATTATAAGATTTCAAAACTTGTGTAAGTAATTATAAAAATTTTTTAATAGTTNTTATGAAACCTATGGGATCGAGCATTTTCTTTCGTTATAGAGATCGTTCGTTATATAAGGTACCTGTTAAAATTAAACAGATTAAATTAAGCAAATAAAATTTTTAATTCCAGCTTAATGTCTTAAGTCTATATCATCATATAAAATATTTACATTAAGAACTCAAATGTACTTATTAATTCCTTTTTAACAAAAAGCAAAATATATTGAATCTATATAAACTGGATATCATTGTATTGATATTAAGTTTTTTATTAAGAAGTTGAAATGCTTAATTACTGAATTATTTTTTTGTTGAATTATGTATTATTATTGAATTTCTTCATTATACTACCTTCTACCAGTATTATTATATAGCCAAATTCTATAATGTCTGTGTTTGTAGATAATAAATTGCAGGTTGGTTTTCATAAAATATTCAAATAATTTTTGCAATTAATGCACTATTGCATAATTTCATACTCTGATTTCGTAATTAGCACAACCGTATAAAATTACCATTTTGCATAATGGAATAATTACGTTGATGTATATCAGTTCTCTATTGTTTAATGGGTACAAAATTAATTTTTGGCGAAAATTTACGGAGTGAAGGTACAGTAAGCAACCGTTACTAATAATTATTATCAATTAAACAGGTTGTTTACTACGTTATGTTTTAATTTTCACCACTTTCTGTTAAGATAAAAATAAGACTGTTTTTTTTTTCATATTCAATTATTTGCCATCGAAGATGCATGCATTTTGACACATTTTTAATAATAATTCTAAATATTTTCAGGATAAAACATAGCAAACATTTTAATATTTCTATTTACTTATTACATGTATAAATGTTTATAACTATAATAATATGAGTTAGATCAATAATAATAGATCAATAACAGTTTGATAAGTATGTTCTTTTCTGTGATACAAACAAATATACATCGGACAAGCAGGCAGCGAAATAAATGAAAGATATACCGAACATATCAATTCCTTTATAACAGATTGAATTCTCTTAAGGTTTTAAAGCATAGGCGTACTAAAATTTTCCTAGAAATAAAGAAAAGTAAGTGTTATACCTAATAAGAAAGTAATACGTTACATAGAAAAGAGAAATTTATATATTCTCCATATTGTACAATTACTTTCTGGTTTATGGGTCTAGGGATGTAATGTGCGTTGGTTAGAATGGAGAGGTGCTATTTCAGGATCGAAATCGATAAGTAAAAGGTATTAAAATCCACTTTAGCGTACCTAATATTAAATCATAGGCTTGATCGGTAGAAATTTCTGTGTAACCGTGTCCAACACCAACTAACGTCAATGATGTTTTAATTATAACTCGACTCGACGATTCGCACATTATTCAACGATAATACGATTGCTACTTTTCTTTTTTACATAAATATTGTGGACAGTCGATTGAAATAATTTTAGCTTTCTTCTTGTTTTAGATATCATTAAAAAATTGAATCGCTTCTAAAAAGTCTTGTATTAAGCTATACTGCCAAATTGGAAAAGGCTTTCGCGGCCAGTAGGTGAACCGTTGCTCTCCTGATTCGGATCTAAAAGTTGTCGTCGGTTGGCCATGCTTCCTAACGTTTCGCTGGAACTAGTGATGATACTTCAGAAGTTTTTTCATTTCCGATGCTGTATGTGGAAGCAATTTCAACCAACGACGGCCTTTTGACAAGAATCAAAGTAGCATCACTTAAGCTACGAGGTTTGTTCAAAAAGTATCGTGAATTTTGTGTTTCTTCAAAAATTATTTATTTATTTATGCATATCTATTTTGTCCGCTTTAAAGTAATTCCCACTAGATATTATGTAATTATGCCAAAGTTTTTTCCAATCCTAGAAGCATTTCAAAAAATATTTATCAGCTCGCATTTTTTGATGTCTCCTCAATTATAAGGTTGAAACGTCTTTCGGGAACAACAAAAATTCATAGGGAAATAAGGTAGCAGCGGCTTTGTTAGTGTGTTGTTTTTGGCCAAAAATTCGCGCACAGTCAATGATGTGGGAACAGTGGCGTTATCATGGTGCAAAAGCCAATTTTTGTTCTTCCACAAATCCGGGAGTTTCTGGCGGATTGCTTCGCGCAAATTGCGCATAACTTGCAGATAATATTCCTTATTGACCGTTCTGCAAGAACTCATAAAGCACCACGCCCCTGGAATCGAAGAAAACTGTAAGCAAAACCTTCACATTCGACCTAACTTGGCGTGCTTTTTTCTTAACTCGTGCGGCAGCTTCTATTGGGATGATTGAGCTTTGGTTTCCACGTCACAACCATAAACTCATGATTCCTC